AGTTGGAAGACGCCGATGTCTCCATACCTTGCTCCATACCTTCTAGGAAGAGGGGAATTATGAAGCTGTGCCTTGCGTGTACAAAATCATATATTGGAGACGTTCGGGTGAATTTCTCCATAAGAATTATATAGCTTTAGGCAAAAAGATCCTGCAATTAATCCTCGAAGTTCATATTTGTTAAGTTTTTGATCTATTCTTGATACTACGCAAGAGCACATCGTCGATGTTGCCAAATTGCAGTTTACTTTCGAATTAATGCCGGTGCCTTTTTTGCGTGTTAATCAATAATACGAATATAAATTTTTTATACTGGTGATTTATCTTGATATCCAAAATTAAGGTAAAAAAAAAAAAAAAAAAAAAAAAAAAAAAAAAAAAATAATATATAAAATTGTATTAATAAAAAAAAAAAAAAAAAAAAAAAAAAAAAAAAAAAAAATATCATTATTTTTTCTTAATGGTTTTAAACTTATTAGAATTATTTTATTTCTTTCAGTTTTTTTTTTTTTTTTTTTTGTTTGTTTTTATTTCAACAATATTTTTACTTGAGTACAGGAAAGATGCTTGAAGTACTACCATGATTAAAGTTGTCTTATAGAACACAAACGTCTGCCTGAGAGGAAAATACTTTTGCCTGCCATATAATGCCACTAATATAATATACTTTGATTATAATTAACGTTTTGTACTCATACTTCTCTTAAAAATATCAAGCATAGATATCAAGTTAGTGGATTTTATCGAAGAGTGTGTTGATAAGACTAAAATAAGCTTGCAAGTTTATCTTTTCTTCTTTAGAAGGGAGATGGTTTGTATCGTAAAAACATTACAGTATTTAATACCGTGTACTTTGTTATTCTTTCCACTTATTGTAATTTTTGTTTCTCCTAATGCCAAATCTTGACAATATGGTGAAAGTTGAGTTTTGATCTTATTAGTTTTATAAGAATAATGTAATAATAATAGAAATACAAGACTAAATTATTAAGACTTAGTTTGTGAATTATATTAAGATCTTTCTATAATATTTGTTATGCCTCATCTTAATATTATATTGCGTTTTTGGTTCTGAAAATAAATGTGCTAAACAGTCTGGTTTTGTGGAAGATCCTGTCTGTCCTTCCAATAGCTCTTTGACTAAGAAAATCATATAAATTAGTGTAAGAACAGAGTAATTCATAACAGAAAATTAATGCAATATATGTGGCGGCTAGAATAAACAAGGAAGCGATGCCCCATAATTTAATTAAGGAGGCCGGTGAAAGGCTCTTTGCCTCCGTATTTTTGATGGAATGTTAAAACAACCTATTATGAACATGACATGGAGCAACAGCATTTAAAACCCGGCCAAAAGAAAACTAGGCGTACATCCCTTTTTTACCTCCGAATTTTTAATAAAGCACTTTTTAAGCGTAGCGTAATAATCTAGAGCAATTAGATTAATAATTATAAATATAATTTTATTTCTATTTAATTTTATTGACTATGGAAATACATAATAAAAAAAAAAAAAAAAAAAAAATAAAGTAAATATTAAAATAATAATAGCCAATATACCGGCGTACTGTGATTGAAAAAATAACGTCAGCGATAACTATAAATGAAGGAATGCTGCCGGCCTTATTTATATAAAATGTCCTCAATCGTCATTTCCAGCCAACTGGACGCCGTTTTTTTCGATCATATACGGTATATATTGACAAAAAACACTGAAACATTAATATTTCAGTAATCTTAAAGGACCCCAGTACCCGGCATTATTCAGAGGCATGCGTAGTGTCTGTGACTATATGCAGCAAAAACTCGTTTCAAGGTCAGCCACCGGATCCACACCATTACCGTTTTTAGCTACTAAGTATCAAAAATATCACATAATAAGGAACAAATTCACAAAATATAGATTTTTTATTTCTTTAAATCTTTGAATAAGAAGCTTTAAATTAAAACAAACAAAGTTTTTAGGTTATGTTTTCACTGTTATTCAATGAACTGTATACTACCTAACTGGAAAGGACCCGCCTATCGATAAAAGTGAGGCAAAGCGCAAAATAGGCAACCCGTCGTTGTGACGGCAATACCTATCTCTTCTATCATCTTATTAACCTTAAATGGATTTTAAAAAGAAAAATATTTCAAGTGATTTTGCGAAATATTTATTTCGATACTATGAAGCCCCTGCCTTTTGCCGAGCAAAACATAGGAAGATAAGAATAGATAGAGTTTTGGCTTAACAATTTTAGCAAAACTTGAGTATTTTACCGATGCAGACGATAAGGCCTTAAGTTTTAACATGAGAAAGTTTATTTTAATTAGTAATAACTAAAAACCAAAACTAGACCAAATGGAAATGCACCTTGTTTCCTGAAATGACATAATATTAATAATCCGTAGAAGTCAAAGTTTTATTGTTCTACTGTGAGCCTAAAATTAGCGGTATTTAGGGACAAGTCAAGGCAAGGGCCAAGGATAGGGAAATTCAAAAATCAAGTACCGCAAAAATTATATAAGTATATTAAATAATAAAAGGATACAAATCAAAATAACTAAGCATACTTAAAACCCTTAAAACTACTCCAACAATTTTTTTAAAAGCACAAGTTTGGTCATTTTTATCTGGATCAGCAGCACTCCATGTAATTTAAATCGCATAAAGCAGTGATGCAACCGCATTTGCTAAAATGTCGAGAATTTTTCTAACGATCTGAAACTCATGATTTTCTTCACTCATGAATTCATGTGTTACAGGGTGCTTAGGTTGAAATATTTGAATACAGGCTTCACCAAAATACTAATAACCTATTAACAATTGCCTTTTTTAACATTTAATGTACTTTTTGGGCCTCTGCTTTTTTCCGTCATACATGAAATTGCCTTTCATCGCTGCCTGTATACAACGTTGGAAAATTCACACGAGATACAAAAATTTGTGAATTGTGTAAATGTTTCTGAGGATGCGCTGTAGCTATGATCACTGTTAATATCACTATCTTTTTAATGTACCTCTACAGTGATGGCAAGTGGCCTCATTAACAAGGCGACGGACAATATATAATAGATATATATAAAATAAACATTTTCTTGAAAAACAATTTTTACTTGTTTTTTTTTCTAAATATTCAATATACTTTGAAATTTCGTTATTTGTTTCGGTTTGCTCTGAAATGACTTGACTTTGTCTGTCTTCTGACCGGAATTCAAAAGCTGGAGTGCAGTAACTTCCAAATTCAGAGCAATTTGCACTGACACTAGAAGTTACTGAATTCCGGAGGTCTCAGTGCCCAATTTAAGCAGTTATGTTTAAGTTGTTGTTCAACCACTTGACCTTTATACAGGAAAAACATTTCCAGATGATCCTGGGAACATGAGAAGTTAAAAAATATTGTAATGGGTCTTCATTCAAACAAAAAAGGTCTTTCGACATAGTTGGGGCTTACACTTTCACAAAGTTAAAATAAACCCTAAAGCAAAAGTTTTTCGTGTACTATTTAACAATGGAATACCATCCATACTTATGCTTCCGTGAGATTTTGTTTTTGAAAATATCTTCAAAATATTTTAAATTATTTGCTCAATGGGTGCTTTAAAAGCCCTTACCAAAAGGATTTCTGGAGTTTAAAATATCGAAAACCCTATCAATAGTCCTAATAAATTCAACAGTAGCATGGCTGTCTTTGAATTCAGCAACTCCACATTTAGCTAAATATTCTATGGCATCTGCCACACCACTACTTAAGGTTTGTGCTGCAAGTCGTACATTCATTACCTTATTCTTATAATTAATGTGACTAGAACTAAGAGAGAGTTGCCTAATTAATTTTCCAAATTTTGAATTTTATCTAATTGGAGCCAAGAAAAATGCAATTTAATGTTTTTAAAGTATTTTTTTAATTTAAATTCTTTTTTTTTCAGCCAAAGCTGGTTTGCTAACTTTAACATATGGCAAATATCCAATATACAATAAACACGAATACTTTTGTCACATGGATGGAAAAAATAGGGAATTACTTAGCGTGTATCCTTAGCACCAACTTATTATATAGGTAAAGCAATATTTGCTCAACCATCAGTGATAGATCTAACCTGCAGCAGCCTGCCTCAAATAAACTTGCTGGAGAAGGAGCCTTTGCAAATGCGAGTCAAGTTTGTTTATATTAAAAAATAAGCTACTGGACATTTAAAGTTATATATGTAACTGACAATTTGAAAAAAAAACAGTGCTTCGATGTTGGGGTTTCTTGATCTACATCAGTTATACCACCATAATTTACATTACCCATAAATTTTCCTGCACTATGGTCCCATACAATCTGCTTTCTGATTGACATAGCATCAATTATTAGTGCTATCAAAGCTTTTTAAATGTACTTTGTAGCCACTGAGTCTTCTGGGGTACCAAACACCTCCCACCCTGGTTCACAGTTAAGGCCACTGAGCCATTTTCTAATTGTCCTACCATTAGGTGTAACACAAATAATTGCGTAGAAAATGGTAAGCTTTGGGAGAATAGAAGTGCCGCATGTACAAATTGCTCTCATGATCTTCTAGGCATCTCCTGGTCTTGGTCCTCTTTTGTCTTTTGTTTTTGAAGCAGGACCAGTTCCAGAGGTAAACCTAAAAATAAAGAAATTTAATTTAGATTATTAAACATAACAAATCATGAATATTATTAATTTAATACCTTCAAAGTATTTTTCTAATACAATATCTAAATTTTCGTTGCTGTGGCCACTTTTTTTTATTGTGCTAATAACCTCTTTCATGTTACGAATTTTAAGATTCTTCCGGTTCACTTTTTGTTTAAGTGTTTTTACTTTTCTACGTAGTTGTTCAATATTAACTGGAACTGTTTGTGTTTCTTTATCCAATAATATTTTCCCAAACTTTTCACTTCTATTGGCTGGAGTAGTTGATGTTGAAGCTAAAGGTAAATCAATATCCATTAATTCACTTTCAGTGTGAACGCTTGTAGTAGAAATCTGAAAATTATGTTATAATCAATCACTACAGAATAACATTATATCATTTACCAACCTGTTTTATTATTTTTCTACGAGGAGCATAGGGCTTTTTGCAACAAGTGTTTTGAAAAGAAAACACACTTGGTACAGCATCAGGCTTTAATCTTTTAACAGCCAGTCCTGGCTGATTAATGTAGTCTGTTGGAAGAAAATGTTCCCCACATAGCCGGCTAGTTTTAGATCGTGTCCACTTATCTCTACGAAGAGCCTGAATCCAAAGCTTTAATATTTCAGGTCGTTTAAAAGGAAAACTGCAAAAAATAATACTACGTTAAGGTTGTTATGGATGTTATAAATGCTCCAAAAGCGAGTATGATTTGTTAAAAATAAAACAATACAAAATATTATATTCCTATATTTTTAACTTACGTATGAAACGGAATTTTTCGCCTATCCTGCTCATTATTGCAACCATAAGCAACACACGAAATCACCATTATTATTGGTCTTTAAGTCAGTCTTGTCTGTGTAAAACACTTTAACCACAATTTAAGTTTTTTACACACTTTTAAAATACTACACGCGACAGAACACACAAAAACCAGCCAATACGTAAAACTTTCGTTAAAATGAATCTTGCTTCCAATTGGTGAAACGATAAAAAGCTGTATAAAACTAATAAAAGGTAAATTATTATCCCAGATGTACACTGACCAAATGTATCACAATGGATAGGAGTTCATAGGAGTGAGATAGGTTACCGTCTTAATGACTCTGTCTTTGTCATTGCCCCTGACACACAAAAGCCGATTTTCGGCAACGCTCGGGTCCGTTCCAGTTACGTAGTATTTAGTTCATTGCTGTTATTTAAAAAAACTACATTAATTACATAAACTACACAATTACTACTCGACATTTAAAAAACTATTTGTGATTGTGACTTGCGACTTGTGCGTGTGACATGTAGTAAATGTAGTTTATTAATTACTACGTGTAGTTTAACAAGAGTTTAACAACTCGAGCTGGGCCTCTACACTCCATAGCTGGGCCAAGGACAGAAGAAGGCCAAGGACCAGGGATACATTATCCTTGAGCTGGCTCACTGGACTAACCATTTTACTAACCATGAATAATTCAACTAAATCATATATAATTCAAAGTATATATGAATTTTGTAAATTAAATTCAGAAATCGTAAATTATATACGAAATATTCCAATTTTTCTATTGGTCTATTCTCTATTCCTTTTTTATGACTTTTTTTGATAAAGTCATAGGATAAAGTAGTTGTAGTTCCACATTCCCATTTTCCTCATCAGATAAGTCAGATATGTGCTCTGAAAAATAGTCATCATTTTTGGATATTTAAAGTTCACGCCCAGTCGCCCAGATTACTCCAATATAAAATCAATATTAATAAAAAAAAAAAAAAAAAAAAATTTTTTTTCAGAAAAAATTCGTGTTGACTGACCAGAGTCCACGAATTTTTGTTTGAAAAAGTTAGAAAATCTCGCAAAACACTTGTTTTCGAAATGACTGAAATACATAAATTTGGATCTGTTAATCCAATTACATGTCATGCCTGGAATAAAGACCGGAATCGTAAGTAAATATATAATAAATGAATCGTTAAAAACTGTGAAATATGCTTGTTTTTTATTATAGAAATCGCATTTTCCCCTAATAATCAAGAAGTTGAAATCCATAAGAGAACGGGCAACGACTGGAAGTTACTGGATACTTTAAATCAGCATGATCTACGAGTAATGGGAATTGATTGGGCTCCAACTACTAACAGAATAGTGACTTGTGCTAGTGACAGAAACGCATATGTCTGGAGCCAAGAAAAAGATGGAAAATGGAAGCCAACTCTAGTTCTTTTAAGAATTAATAGGGCCGCTACTTGCGTTAAATGGTCTCCAAATGAGAATAAATTTGCTGTTGGCTCTGGAGCTCGTCTTATATCCATATGTTACTTTGAAAGTGAAAATATTGATTGGTGGGTCTCTAAGCACATTAAGAAACCCATTCGATCAACAGTTACTACCTTAGACTGGCATCCAAACAATGTGCTTCTAGCTGCTGGAAGTGCAGATTTTAAAGTAAGAGTTTTCTCTGCTTATATTAAAGATATTGAAAAAACCCCTGAACCTACACCTTGGGGAAACAAAATGCCATTAGGTCAAGTTATGGCAGAGTATGTTAATTCATCTGCTGGTGGTGGTTGGGTCCATTGTGTCAGTTTTTCGGCCGACGGTTCTAAAGTTTGCTGGGTATGTTGGTTTTTTGGTTGGATTTTTAAGCTACTTATAGATATTTTTAGGTATCACATGATTCATCGATTAATGTTGCTGATCCTAGTAAAGGAAATACTTTATAAAATTAAAACTGATATTCTTCCATTCTTAAACTGTACCTGGATAAGTACTAAGGCCATAGTTGCTGCTGGACATAGTTGTGTCCCTGTAATTTATAACTTGACTGAAAGTGGTCAATTAGTTTTTGGTGGAAAATTGGACACATCCCAAAAGAAAGAATCAGGGGGATTATCTGCAATGAAAATGTTTCATTCATTGGACAAACAAGCGAGAACCGAAATGTCAGATACCAATATAGATTCAATCCATCAGAATGCTATAACTTGTTTATGTATTTATAATGGGACTAAAGGTAAAGCCACAAAAATAAGCACATCTGGATTGGATGGACAGTTGGTGATTTGGGATATCAATTCCTTGGAAAGGTCAATTCAAGGTTTAAAGATTCAGTAATTTCACACACTACCATTTTATGTAAGAGATATCCAATATGAAACTTAAATAAAAATAAAATTAAATTAAATTTATTATAAAAACAAATATATACAAATTCACCTAGTAAATATCTTATTTTAAGGACATTTTCCACAACAAGTGTTTACACTAAGTTCTTCTGGTTTGTGATTAGGTGTCCAAGGTCCAATACTTGCATTTGCATAGAAATCCATAGGATAACTTTTATCCTCTTTGTGCCACTGTGCATCTCCTAGTGTGATGGCTAATTCGTAGGGAGTCAAAAATGGTTTTGTAAATGATTTTCCCCAATCAATTGACAACCTTGGACAAGCTACCTGAACAAAAGCATCAAGTTTTGAAAATAGTTCTATCTTCTTTGGAAATATCTCTGATAATAATATGACCACAGCTGATCTACCCGTCTCTGTGATACGTTTTCGTAAATGTTCTACTACTTTAGGACTACCTTGTCTTCCTAAAGTCCCCATTATAACACCAAATTTACCCACTAATTTTGCATCTTCTATGCAATTTTTTCTGATAATTTCCATTTGTTCATGATCATACAACTCCTGAGTAATAATCTTACTGTAAGGATCATATTTATATGCTTTTACTTTAGGATTGGCAATCATAATAGCCTCCAAATGAAACCGACCATCTCCTAAATATATTACTGTGTCACAACATCTTAACACTGGAGCTGTACAACCTAATATTTCTCCTGGAGAAAGAGGTTTAAACTGTGGTATTGATATATCATAGCCATTTTCACCAAGCATTTTGGAAACAGCTTGTAAAGTTGTCACAAATTGTATTGTACTAACTAAAGCTATTTTTGCACTTTTATCAAAGTTAAATTTTACAGTTTCTATGAAATGGGTGATCCACTTTTTATATCAACAAAATGTAAAGTACATTTTAACGATGTTTGATCAATTGGTATTAAGTTATATTATAATGACTAATAATTTACCCCTAAAGCTTTAGCTGTCAGATCATCTATACAACAAGCACCATAAGTCACATCACCCATGATAACTGTATCAGCCCCCGTAAATTCTTTTATAATATCAGCTAGAGTTGTAGAAAAAATTAATAAACCTTCGGGCATTTGTAAGGCTACCATTTTAGCCTTTAATTCTTGAATTCTCCATATTGTTTTGGGAATCTCAAAATTGTAATTCTTCGGTAACACAGCGGCAGCTGTTTGTAGTTTAGGGTCATTTAGAATACGATCTGGAATTTTTGTAATTCGAGTGGCTTTGAAAACTTTGCGTTGAGGTTTTGCTTTAACTACTATTGTTGATTCTGCCATTTTCTAAAAACCTTATCCAATAAATAACAGCTCGTCTAGAACGAATCATGCTTTCTTATACTTACGTTTTAATTCAATACATTGCAAGAAATATAATTTTAAATATTTTGGGTGTTTAGAGGTTAGTAATAAATTTAGCAACGTGAGTAGTTCGTTTGTACAATGGCCGACTCGTAAAAGATTTCAATCATATATAATACATATATGATGAACTGGATTTTTATTGTTGTAAGATGTGGATCATATACAGATGATATATAGATATGATAAATCCCAATAAATCCGAAATCATATATAAAGCATATGAAATTCGGCTGGATTCGGTCTCCAGCGATATCTTCCGGTGTCCTTGGCATTCACGATCTTTGGATGTCCTTGTCCTTGGACCTTTCCAAGGTTTTTGCAGATTATTTTTTTTGACTGACAGTTGACAGAATCGTAACAAATAACCTTGTAAATTTCGAAAATATTTTAAAAACCATTTAGAAACATTTGACCTTATGTCCCCTACGTCCTTTGGATTACTAAAATAGTAAGTAGCAAAATAGAACTAGACATTGCTTGCATGCATGTTAACATAAAATTACTTATTTTGTTACATTTTTTTGTAAAATGTGCGAATGTCAGGATATGAGTATGGATGTTAAAACTCCTAGAAATGTATATTTGTCGGCATTTTATAAAAGGTAAGGTAATTAACAACTATTGTTTTTTAATAATATGAGTTCTTTGTAGGAGTTTTGCATTTTACACTGTAAAAAGTCGACTGCCAATAATTCTAACACAGTTGATAGATACTCTGGTACGCAATAAGGAGCAAATAGCAGCAATTTATGGGGAGGTTAATATTTAAGCATTTGACTGAACATTTATAAAACACAATACGATTTTAGATAGCCCATGATGATTTGAAAAAAGTTATTGGAGAAATATCCAAATTGAAATATGAGATACAA